CGCCTGTGGCCAGGGAAACAGGTTCCCTCTTCTCCTACTGTAGTCATTACTTCAATATTCCCCTTCTGAATTTCTCTCCTGTGCTGCAACCCAACTCCACTTTTTATCGGAAGGATACGGAACAGAGAGAGCAGTGTTAAAAGCTTACATTTTTAAGCCGGTAAGGTTGGTACTTAAACATATAAATGGAAAACTAGAGTCCTTAAGGTAACAAAGGCTACAAAGGACAGGGACAGCGCATGACCTATTATATCCAGCAATCCATATGGGGACTGAAAACTTTGCAATGATGATTACTACTGAAGATATGAATCAACTAAAATAGTTGACAGGGACAATTCTTCTATCTTTGAAAATATCTACATCAAATCTGTTTAAGATTTTCATCATCTGCATAATATAACACATTCTGACAAGACCACCACCACCACCAATGTGGTCAGTGTTGTGCCGATAAATGTTTAATAACTGAGGGACCCCCCCCCGCCCCCGCCAACGCACAAATTTTTGTGCACCGGGCTACTAGTCCTTAATAAAAGATGAAGGACTGATATCAAACTGTCATTCTGTAAGGGTACTTCTAAAAAAGGTAGATAACAATGTATACATACAAATATTTTTATAACCTGGCTTGTACAAGGCTGAAATGTTTAAAATCAAGAGTAATGAATTATTATTGTGCCCATTAAGTGATCTCCTTTATCTGTGTTTCAGCCAGACCATGTCAAGGGACTAGGCTGCTAATATATAGAAGCTGAGGCTAGACTAGAAGCTGAGAACATAGTTTTCCTCTCTTATTGATGGAATGGAAAGCTCCATGCTTTAGAAAACTGGTATGTAGGTAGCAATAATTTATGTCAAAAATTAAGGTCTTCTTGCCTGAAAGGAGGGCCCTTTCTTTCATTTTCAGGGACATAGGCTGTCAAACCAAAGTATTCTCTTCTCTTGGTAACTAGTTTAGAATACAGTGAGAATGTTAAATGAGGACTTAAAACCCCACAGTTCACATAGAGGAAGGTCAGCAAACTATGGCTCAGGGGCCAATCTCCTGCCCTATGTTTTTATAAATAGTTTTAATGGAACTTAGCTCCACCCATTAACGTATGGAATGGTTAAGGCTGCTTTTGCACAACAGCAGAGTTGAATAGTCACAACAGAGACATAGGGTTCCAAAAGCCTAAAATCTTTACCATCTAGCCTTTTACAGAAGAAGTTTGCCAACCCCGGCCAGAGAACAAAGAGAGACAGTTCTGGTAATATCACTCTTGTAAACTCTTTCATTTTAGCACCACAGCATCATGAAGGTCTCGCCCCTATGAATTTGCTGCACAATTCACTTCCAAAAAGTTAATTGAATTCATCTTCAAGTAGTGATTTCAGTGGAGTAAAAACAGAGACATATGCTCTGACTGATCTTTTCCTTTTAATTTGAATCTTCATAATATAATGACACTTTGCTATAAACTGGATGAATTTCCCCTGATTCTAGAGAATAGAAAAATAGACATTCTCTAATAAGCAGACACTAAGATTAGAGAGTGGCTACTAATCAAGCTTGACCAGTTGATTGGTGCCAAAAAAAAGGTGGGGGGGTGGGGGGCGGGGGTTCCAGATGAATGGTTCTGAAACCAAAGTCATTTCTTTTGGTAGACATTTCCTTTTGCTTACATGATTTATAGTTAATCATCTTGTATAGTTAGTCAACAGTTCCGCAAATAAGAATTTTATAGCTAATTTCTATTAGACAGTACATCAGGAAATTATGTTCCTCTAAGATACAAATTTCATGGATGCTTTACTGACTTTTTTTTTTAATCTAAGCTAAAAATGACTGTGATTATGCTCAGTGTCAAGATCTTTGAGGCCTTCATCTCCCAAAGCTGGTGCTCTGGGCAAACTCAAATAACTTCCTAGAGGGGATGTTGTTGGGACCTTGACTTAGAGCTCTTTATTATATTCACAGTAAGAAAGCCTGGAGACACACTCTGTGGCCAAGCCTGGTGAGGGGAAAAGACTCTATAGAGCACAATAGTCTAATATGCTCCTTGTTTTATTTATTTTTCTGAGTCTCATTTTCCTGTTGTCCTACTTTCCTCACCACTTATTTTTCACTTTATCTTCTGTGGTATTAATAGGTAATCCACCTTAAATCCTTTCTGGAACAAGGCAGGGTGTAAGTAAACAAGTAAAAATGAACTGGTCTATTGAATAGAGTTATTTAGTATTGTCCATCTGAATACTGAAAAAAATTATCTGCCAAAAACAACTATTTTGTTTTTGGCATGATAGCTGCTGAGGTTTTCTTTCAAATAGAAATTGCTCAACAGGTTCAGGTGGCTTCGTGTTGCTCCTGTAGGCACGTGATGTTAGGACCATGTATCTGGGCAGACCAGGGTGCTCACCTTGCTCTCTGCTATGGCAGAAAGGTGGGCAACCAGTGCCATTGCACCTGCACAAATAGTTAGAAATTGATGGAAAGGTTACCGCTAACATCATCTCTTCAGTCTCTCTTAGGGGAAGAAAAAAACCCTCAGTAATTAGCATTTGAATAGTGCTCTACAATTTGCAAAGAAATTTACACAGATGGCATTGTACTCAACCCTCACTGTAACATTGTTAATTTGGTTTATGACATTGAGACTTCAAGAAGACAAGTACAGAAAATAGAGGAACCAGGATTCAGCCCCCTGACATGAGACTGCATCTTTATTTCTCTGTGCTCTCCCTATCCTTTCATATTCTAATCGTTTCATCCAGGCATTATAAAGTCTGGAAGAGTGCTATGTGATAGCTCGTAGCAAAAGGCTTTGGAGTTAGAGCTGAGGTTAAATGTCAAATTTTTCATTTTCTAGAATTTACTTTAGGTCACTGTATTAGATTCCTAAGACTACTTAACAAATTACCACAAACTGGGTGGCTTAAAGCAACAGCAATGTATTCTGTCATAGTTCTGGAAGCTAGAAGCCAAAAGCAAGCATCAACAGGGCCACAATACCTCCAAAGGCTCAATCCCTTCCTTGTCTTTTCTTGCTCCAGGCATTGTGGACACATCACTCCTATTTCTGCTTCCTTGGCCATGTTGCCTCTTCTATTCATTCGTCTTCTTTTTTGAGTGTGTATCTTATAAGGCAACGCGTGATGCATGTAGAACCCGTTTAGGATAAGCTCCTGCTCTCAATATCATTAGCTTAATCTCATCTTTTGCAAAATAAGGTAATAGTCACAGGTTCTAGGGATTAGGATATGGACATAACTTTTTGGGGTCCACCATGCAACCCACTAAGGTCACTGAACCTCATGCCCCCTTCAATAAAATATACAATAATATCACTTATCTGAAGGGTACAGATCAAATAAGATAATTGAAATAAAAATGTCCAATATAAAACTGATACTCAATAAATGGGTTTCACCCTTTTTTTCTCATCATGAGAGCTGCTAATAAAATCACACTACTTTTTACATGACTTTCCTCATTTGGCCCATTGGAATAATTTCCAAATATATGCTCAAATATCCTTGTTCTTTCCTTTTCTCTTTAGATTCCTTTTCCTAATAAACTGTATTCCTTTCAAGACAAAGAGCTGTTGCCAAACCAGTTTGGCTCAGTGGATAGAGCGTCGGCCTGCGGACTCAAGGGTCCCGGGTTCGATTCCGGTCAAGGGCATGTGCCTTGGTTGCGGGCACATCCCCACTGGGGGGCGTGCAGGAGGCAGCTGATCGATGTTTCTCTCTCATCGATGTTTCTAACTCTCTATCCCTCTCCCTTCTTCTCTGTAAAAAATCAATAAAATATATTTTTTAAAAAAAAGACAAAGAGCTGTACACTTTTTTTTTCTGTATAGATTGATTTCAGAGAGAGGTAGAGAAAGAGAGAGAGAGAGAGAGAGAGAGATTCACATCAATTGGTTACCTGTCCCACACACCCCAACCGGGAATCAAACTTGCAACCTGGGTATATGCCATGATCAGGAATTGAGCCTGCCACCTTTTGGTGCATGAACAATGCTCCAATCAACTGAGCCACACTGGTCAGGGCAATAGTACACTTTTTGAATACTATTTTATCATGAATTGGGACAGTGCTTCTCAAAACATCTATAGTAAGAGATCAGTTTTAATTTTGTAAAATTAAATTTTAAATGTTGTGATAATGAAAATTGCTATAAAAGTTTCCAAATACCTATTTCATCTTGTTGCATACCAACAACAATTTGTGGAACCACCCTGACCAAGAACCACACTTTGAGGAACAGAGGGCAAAGGGAACATATGTCACCTTTACAATTGTCTGAACTCCAAGATTCTGGTTACTGCCTCATTATTATCCGTTAGGATTTCCATATTGATATATACTTCTCTTGTATTCTCTCTCTTTTTTAGAGATTAAAAATATCAATGTTAAAAGTTAAGAGCTGATCAAATACTTTAATTTTATCAAAATTAATTTTCCAAAAGAGAATAAAATTCTCCATTACTGCAAAAGGCAAGTAACACCAAGATTTAACACCAAAAATATAATATCCATATTTTCCCTCTTCCTAAGTGGTTTGAACTGTATTTTCATGGTAGTAGAGTTGGTTCATTTCTCGTATGCCTTCTTTGCTTTAGCTTGGTTTATATCTGGATGTATACCTCAGTTATACATAATACTATTCTATTTTCCTTCTCCTAGATAAGTTTTGATATTTTTAGGGTGCTTTATCCCATGAATTCTCAGTGTTCTCAATAACATTTTTTGAACTTAAAACTGAGTTATTTTATCACCCCCTACTTTGTATTGACATGTATAGTTTCTTAAAGTCATAAATATTATTCTTTGAACTTTTCTGTTTTGTTGAATGAATGAAAGAATGATAATTACTAGGGACCACATCCACTACACAAATTCTTTCTCTGTCACACCCACTGTTTGTACTACCTACTTGGTAGTTGGTCTTAATTTTTCTCCCTCCGCTGCATCCATTTATCCTTGTTAAATATCTTCTCCACTTTGATCCACTGCCCTTTTCCATTTTCAATAGTATATCTTCTTGACATTCCTGTCATGATCCCGAAGACAAATTCTTCCTTTGGATGCCTCCTATGTAATCAACTATTATCCACCTTTCTCTTCCAGAGTCATCACTACAAACAGAAAGAAGAGAGGACAACATTTTCACCCAACCACTCAATTTTTTTCACTTTCCTACCTAGTCCGAAAGATGTATTGAGGAATTCTTATAACTGCAGCATTTGTTCCTATATAAATCATCAAAGTAAAGGGGATTGGTGAGTTTGGTGATCTTGGCAGGCTCTCTAAAATCCTGCTCCAAGAAGGCCAGCACACAGATCCATGACCATGCCAAGTTCATACAAGGCCACCTCCTCCCAGCCAGCAGAAAGTACATTATCAAATCATTATGACATGTATGTTTTTATTTGATTGAGATAACACAGTTTCATCATTTTTTGAATGCCTGGGAATCTCTTGGAGGCTGAGATAATGTCTCTTCTTGAATATGCCTGAAATTGCCCTCTAGGAGAAGAACCTCATAAAGCTTCCTTGCAGACTAATTTATTCTGGCTCATCCTCAGCTGTGTCACAGTCCTCCAAACTACTCCCAGTGACAACCCCGAAGTCACGCTACAGTCCCAAACATCTTCTTCTTATGGACAACATATATTTAATCTTCTCTTATAAAACAAACATAAAAACTGTCCTCTCCTACTCTATGTCCTATGACTTGTTTCTCCCCGAGGCAGGCTCTCCCTAAGGTAGACAACAGAGTACAACGTTATTCTCCCACCTCCTCCCTTTCTTGTTACACCTCAGAATAAGCACACAGGCCCATCCATTTTAAGTCAGTGTGATCAATCAATATGAAGAATTAGATGGAGATAACGACAAGAAATGTAAAAAAATTACTCCCCCAAATCAAGAGGTCTAAGAGGTATCCTAGCTGTTTTCCTTGGCATATAATTACTGACTTTCATTTAGAATACTCAGAAAACAAGGTGAGGTTTTATGGGTTTTTAAGTGTCTTCTACAACTAACACTCTAATACCTTCTGTCCCTGTGTGGGGCTTCCCAAGGTGACCAGTCTGACCTTCCAAAGGGGGCCCTATTTGGGGACAAAGATTAGGAATTCCTAAAGATGTCTTCTCTGCATGTCAGGCTATTTCCCTCTGAATTTGCAGGTAGGTCCTCACTTTTCTGAGACTATCCTAGTCTTCCAACTCAGTAAGTTCTTTTTGTCTTTCCTATCACTCGAGGGGAAAGGGAGACTTACTTATTTGCTCCCTGAAGACTCTTCCCCATGAGGATGCCTGTCCTTTCTGACCAGTAGTCTATCATTCACCATTCTGGGAAATCTGCCCTCTATAGTGCTTGCAGCATACTCAACAGCCAGGTAAAAGTTGAATTCTACTTACAGCGAATTCTTGCTTCACCTGCAGTTCTCAGATACTATCTGGGTACAGCTTCTCTGATCTTGGCCCATGTAGATCCCATCATCATACTAGGCGCCAGGATCAGCTACCTAATTTGTAGGGCCCAGTACAAAATGAAATTGTGGATGCCTTGTTCAAAAGATACTAAAAATTTCAAGACTTCAACAGGAGAGCATCAAAACAAATGCATGACCCTTTGAGTACAGGAGTCTATGCAAATGCATAGGCTGCACTCTCATGAAGCTAGCCAAGCTGAAACATGTCTTTCTGGAACGTTGTTATTGTGATAGTCTTCAATCTTGCTTCAAGGCATCCCCTCTGGCTCCACCATATTCATGTTTCAGATTCAGTCAATTTACAGTAAGCAAGGTTGACATCTCTTTACTAGTCACTAATATAGTCCTACTTAGGTCAGGCTGCTGGTTCCACTTACCCCAAAATTCTCTGAGATGACTCATAAGAGTACCCAATTTCACAGGGAGTTATTGTTTTAGAATAAAAATGCTATAATATAAAAATAAATTGAGTTAGTTAATAATCACTTTTTGAAAGGTGGTTCTGTGCCCAGCAGCATGTTTGATGGTAGTGACACAAAAATAAAGAAGATGCATGCCCTCCTGTAGTTCATAACTGAGTAATGGTAGGCAACCTTAGAGAACAAAGCTCTACCAAAAAGATGCAACTAAAACAAAAGTAATTATGAATTTGCCTAATTTCTTCACATGGAAAAAAGTTATTTAGTTCATTATACCTACTTGTTGACACAGAGTTCCCTTCTCCTTCTTGTTTTTCATCTGGTTACTTTCTGTGTTCTTCAACACATCCTTCTTGCAGTGTGGAATCTACAGAGGTGTTCCTCAAGCACTTTCACCTTCTCCTTTAGGAGAGAAGCAAGTGATAATTACTGTAAACTTTGTTGGCTAATTCCTCAAGAAAAAAACACACATATCTATCTACCTTGCCACAGATTGCAACAGTCCTTTTGTTTTCAGGATATGCATCCTGACTCTTTTGATAAACGAGCAGTGCTTCTGAGATGACTGTGGAAGAAACCTCCTTCCTAGAAACTATTTTTTTATTCCATGGGTTATGTTATAAACTGGCATTGCCCTAGGTGAGTATCTATAATAAGTAACGGAATAGGCAAGTTACTGACACTCCAGGAAAACTTCCTCAACTCCAAAATTAACTGTACAAGTTTTACCATTCAAAAAGGTTAAAAAACAGACATGGAAACAGCTTTAGGAAAACTTCATCAGGTTCTCTTGGCACTACAGCCAATGAACAGACTAATTAAAAAAAAACATTTTTACACTGTAGTGCCTAAGCTGTTGGTTTTCAAAATTACTCTTTCATTTCTAGAAAAAAATTTTGATCAAGTTAACAATGGTTAAAAGAGCCACCTTGGCCTTCCTCTAAAGGCTGAGAACCCAGCTACAGGAAAGAAAATGCTCCCCCTGCCCCAACCTCAATAAAAAGGACAGAGTTCATAATAGAGAGACTTGGAAGATCACAGGGTGACAACATGCCAGCAAGAGGACACTTGTTTCTTCCAGAAGCACACTCTGGTCAAGCATTTTCACCATCTACACTAGTCTTTTTCCATCTCCCTCCATGATTAGCCTTACCCATGAATGACCCAAGAATGGGTGCTCACCGATGCCCTATACATTGAAGGGTGTTAGGAAACCTCGGTTGCTCTGAAATGTCATCTGCACTGGCCTGCCTTGATTCCTGAAATTCCATCACGGCAGTCATTCCTGCAAGTGGTGATGTAATTTATTAGATTCTTTCCAAGTGATAGCTCATCAAAGCAGATTGTGTTCAAGGGAAAGTGGAACGAGTATGAAGGTCCAGGGTGCCTGATGAAAGGTGAATTTGCATAACAGAGATGAAAGAAAATAAACCTACTTATTTTACAATTGCATGTAGGGCCAGAATCACTACCATGCCGCCGAGAACTTGTTCTGATCTTGTCCGTTGAGGTTGTATTACTCAATAGCCTACGAGAGCGCCACAAACTGGTGATCACAGAAAAACCCTAGGCTGATGTGGGCTTATTAGACTACACCTAATACAACAGTGCTTGTGTTACTTCATCTTCTCCTCACCCTGAAAACTCTGATATTAGCTGAAATTCTGGAGTGGCCTCTCTGAGCTGCCCATTTCTCGTGGGCGATATAGAGAGTTAGGAGAAGACACTTTGTTCATCCTCAAGATTCCTGAAGAGTCAGGTTAGCCAAAGGCAATGGTCCCCCAGCCCTGGTTGGCAGATCATTAGAAGAGGTAGTATCCTCTGTGAAATACATCTGTCTAGGTAGGCAGTTATGGTAGATATCAAATTAGCCTTCCTACATATTGGAGGCAATAGATTATAACAGAAAAGAATATGGGTTTGGAGTCACATAAACCTGAGCACTGCTACTGTTATGTTTCACATAGGTTAGGTCACCTAACCCCTCTGAGCCTCTGCTTCTTCTTCTTTGAAATAGGATAATGATGCCCCTGCCCCTGACTCCACAGGGTTATGGGGAAAATATATATGGAGCCTGGCATACCATAGGCGTTCAACAAATGCAGTTGTCCTCTCTTTGTAGTTTTCTATTTGAAGGGACCATATAAAATTACAATGCTCTGCACTATTAAAGCTGTTCATCTCAACCCAAAGAAAGAAGAATCATAATTTTTAATTTTCACTCGCATTCTGAATATTCTAGTTAAACTATAGTCCAGCTATTCCATGAAGTTATATGCCCCCAAGACCAGAGAATCAATTTGGATCCCCTATTGCTCAGCCCAAGCTTTTGATCTGATCTCTGTGCATGAAGGAAAATGCAGCTCTCTTCCACATAATATTAGAAATGTGGGTTTGTTATGATAAACATTTACCTAGGTTCCCCAAATCTATTATTCTAATTTATTCCAAGAATCCCCAACAAATGAATTTATAACCCCTTCTTTGACCCACTTATTTATTGCTCTAGAAACATCAGGGAAAAAAGAAAAAGGGAAAGCAAAGGCATCTCCTCAACTTGTTGGACATGCAAATAGTTAATGTTTTAGGGACACGCTAGAAAAGTGTTCCTGACAATATGCCTGCAAAAATCCCTCCCCAGAAATGCTCTGATTTATCTATGCAGCTCAAAGAATAAAAATTGGTGGCTTTCTCTAAACAAAAATCTGTAGCCTGGACTCAACAAATAAAAAGACTTAACCCTAGGCTTCAGATTCCTAAGGTGGGGGTTTTCCATAGCTCACAGCAGACTGATCATGCATAGAAAGGCTGACACAGCAAAAGGGTTGCTAAGGAAAGGAAGAGAAACACGAGGGAGGAATGAAAAGGAAAAGAAAGGAAGAGAAAGTGTTACTTTCTCCTCGTTGGCATATATAATTTCTATGAAAGAATTTCTGAAATCTTCAATCCTAGGTAAATAAATACTCAATCAGAAAAGCTTTGCAAATCCCAGATGGTAATGGAGTTGGGCAAAATGGTGTTTGTTTGGGGCCCCCAATGAGAAATAATAAATTCTTGGTGATTAATGGCACTTATGTGCTCTTGGCCACTGAAAACATTTTCTGCTCTTGAGTCACAACGGAAGCTACAGCTTGAATTTTATTGTTCAATTTGCTTTTTTCTTTCCTGGGGGAGCCAGCTCTGGATTTAGGAGTTGAAAGTTTAGAGAGTCAGCAGGACCCCATGGGAGTGAAAGCTAAGCTGAGCCAGGGAGGATAATGCCAAAGATGATCTACTCTCGGTGAAAACGTGGGATTCAGAAAAGAAAAGGAACAAAGAGTGATTATAAAGACTGACAGTCTGTAACTTCGACCAAATTTCTTGGCTGGGTTAGCAAATTTTCTTTTTTTAAAACAAACAAACAAAAATTTTCCTGGTTGACAGTTTTTAAACTCTTCCTTTTTCCACTTCTGGCACACTGTCAGAGGACACACTGGTCCTCCCAGAGGGCTGGAGACGGAGTGAGTGTTCAGAGGGAATGTGGCAATGCCAGCTGTGAAAAGCAGAGGGTGAGAATCAAGGGGCTTCAGGGGGTAGAAAAGGGACCATTTTGCTCAGTAAATGACTGGGTTTGTTGGTGTTCATGTTTTTTTCCATGTCCTTTAAAGAAGTCCTCTAACTTGGGCCTTGATTGAGCCTTACCTAAACAGGACAATATTTTTTTGATCTTTTTCAAGCACATTTTAGAAATGTGCTTTAAAAAACCATACTTGTCATTTTTCCCAGTCTTGGCAAGGACTGAAAACAGTGCAAAACACAGAACTTTCAGGGAAATAGTTGACCATGCTGAAATCTAATACAGTTTTTGTCAATCTGGTGCATGGTTGTCTTTAACCTTAGGTTTCCCATCTGTAAAATGGAAAGGACAGCAAGGTTTATACGGATCATAGGTACAAGTTATCAGATTTACACTAACTGTGAGCTAAGCTTTTTCGGGAATCTAAAAAAACAAACAAACAAACAAGAAACCATCACCACCAACAACAAAAAACAATTAAAAAATTGGATTATAGTCCTGCCTCTCTCTCCTACCTCCTAGGACTGCCACAATCCAGGAGTTTCTGCTAGGCCCACAATGAAAGTGTATCTTCTTCCATTGAGTAATTCTGTTGAAAACATGGGTAGATTCCGCTCTATTTTTTGGTGCCCCAATTTCCTGTAAACGATAAAACTGTAAAACAAAAAGTAATAACATCCGAATCTTCCTGCTGGGGACTTGATGAAGATGAATTAGACATTGACAGTCGGAAAAAGATGGAAGGCTCTTCATGACAGAGGCCAAACTAATTCAAAATGAAAATCATCAATTTGACTGTGCTCATATGTTACTTAAAAATCAATGAAGAAACAAAGTGAGGGAACCCTGAAGCCGTTTTAGCACCCCCTCTTTTGCACTCAACTCTAACTTAGCAGCATTGAAATATCTTGGCTCTGAAAAGCCAGTCAATCATCATTAATAATGATATTTTTATAGCACTTTAAAAATTGGAATTTCCAGAGCCACTTTGATAGATGCCCTGTCACTACCTTGCCATTTGTGTAATTTTTTTTCTGGGTTGGCTTTTTCTCCCCCCTTCTATTAAAAAATAAATTAACAGGAAAAAAAGAAGAAAGAGAAGGAATTTCTTTTGATAGAAAAATTCCTAAGAAGGGCAGCTTGCCCTTCCTAGGAATCCTATACTAACAAGGAGGATAATTTAGCAAATTGTACAAGAACTTTCCACTTTAGTTTGAGGAGTTAAAAACAAATGCCTGCCTGTTGCCCTCAGATCTGGAGAAAGAGTTCAGTGAGTTTGCACAAAGATGAAAAAAAAGATTAGAAGCAAAGACTGGGTTGTGTTCTCTGATACACAAACATCTTCTCTTGAGCAATTTACCTGTCTGCTTATCTCAGCATGAACTTTGGAAATTAGTGTGACTGTCCCAGAAAATGCAGAAATATTCCTTCAAATTTCATTAAGTTATAAATAAATTAGTTAAACTCTCATCTTCTTTTGTCTCTGCCTCTCTCTCTCTCTCTCTCTCTTGCCGGGAGCCAGTCCATCCTTGCTGTTTCAAGGGACCTGGCATATATGGCATACTGTTCTTAATACGTTTGCTCACCTTCTTGGCGCTATGTGTTTTAACCAAGGTCACCTCTCTGAGAAAGGTTGTTTCCCCAGGTAGGACTCTCTCTCTCTCTCTCTCTCTCTCTCTCACACACACACACACACACACACACCACCACCACCACCACCACCACCACCACCACCACCACCACCACCACTAAGTATTCCCTGCCTTTGAAAATACAGGTGAAATTCCTTATTTCTGTTGTAACATCCACAAAGCTATCCAAGTCCATGTGATA